GTACCTGTCGGAAAAACAGTACTACAAAGCGGCAAATGTCTGTGGGAAAAACTGCGCGCAAAAAAACCCATGTTCGTAGGAGCAGACCCGCTGAATCGACACCTGTGAGAAGAATTTTCATGAGATACAAAAACACATAAAAACCTAAAAATTTTCCATTTGGCCGAACTTGACGATTGACTTAAATGAAAATTTTCGAAAAATTAGAACTGAACTTCAAAAAAAAATAAACAGTGCAGTACCTCATACGCGGCTTCGCAATCCCGTTGCCAAGATCTACCGGGTGGCACTGCCCATGTATTCCATCTTGTACCACCCGGCGAACTCCATACATATCACAGCCGCAGTGCTCAGCGCGCTGATTTCACCGGTAAAATTTTGCACCGGCGATGGCAACGGGCGTGCTGGCACTGCGGACCCGACTGAACGCGAACCGCTGCTGCAAAGGTTTTTCGTAAAACAGAAGTATTTCCTACTAGCTCACACACTAGAAGTCGGCTTGTCTGAAACGCACAAAAATCCAAAGAGTAGAGGAGTGGGGCTGTGCCGATATAAACGATAATGTGATCAGTACAGGCTGTAGAAAGCTAAATTTCTGTAGTTGTAGTGGAACAGTGGAGGAACTTCTGTCTGCACTCACCACAGCTACCGTCTCCGACTACTGTGTGCTCAGATATCTTTTACTCCAGAAATCCAATGCCTTTGAAGATCCTATCAATTCCAAACACATTTCCACTGAGAGCCGAAGGAGCGCTGCCATGCACAATCGCTGCCGAGACCACCCGGACTACGCGCACACAAGCACTAAAAATTAAAAATCCTCCAAAACAAATCAAGCGAAACTAGGAGCCTCGAAACAGAACAACATCACAGACGAAAATAACGAACCGACCACCTCCCAAGACAAATCCAACCGCAACTGAAAAGCACGGCAATTAAACATTATTATTCGTCAGCTCGGCCGTTTACTCTAGCTTCTCTACCAATGCTATTTCGTAACTTCTCTGCCGGCAGTGTTTGGCAATTTGCCAAGAGCGCT